GGAGCCATTGTCATCGGTATGGATTTTCTAAAGCTCAAGAAACTTAGCATCAAGAACATCCTGTATCCAATGATACCTCACATCAATGTGTTTCGGCTTTGCATGAAAGGTAGAATTATTAGCAAGATGAATATCACTTTGACTGTCACAATACAACACATATCTCTTTTGTGTAAATCCAAGTTGATAAACAAATGACTTCATCCATAACAACTCCTTACATGCCTATGTAATTGCAATGAACTCTGAATTAGTTGTGGACAATGCCACACATTTCTGTAATCTAGATTGCCAAGAAACTGCTCCCCCTGCAAAAGTGATCAAATAACCCAAAGTAGACTTCCTCGAGTCGATATCAAAATTAGAGTAGCCAACAAGAACAGGCTTATCACTCCCAAAGCCTAGCTTTATATCTGCATTACCTCGTAGATATCTCATAATCCATATCATAGCATTCCAATGCTCCTTTCCCAGATTAGAGCATGAGCTAAATCGGGTCTAGTGCAAACCATTGCTTACATCAAGCAACCGACTGCTGAAGCATATGGCGGAATATGCATCATAATTTCCTTATCTTATGATAAAGAAGGACTTTGTTGAGACCTCAACTTAATATGCAAAGCAAGAGGAGTACTCACTGGTTTTGCTTTCTCCTTATTGAACCTTTGAAGCACCTTTTGAATATATGCTTCCTATGACAACCACAACCTTCGAGCCTTACAATCACGGATGATCCTCATGCCTAAAATGTTCTTTGTTGGCCCGAGTTCTTTCATAGATAAAGTCTTGCTCAACTGTTGCTTTAAACTAACAATTCTATCCACACTTTAATTTGCCCTACAATAAGCACATCATCAACATAAATAGCAAAATGATAAAATCATTGTCAGAAAATTTCTTCAAGAAGACACAATGATCACAAGAAGTCTTCTTGTAGCCCTGCTCCCCCATAAAGGAGTCAAACTTGCGATACCGTTGCCTTGGAGCTTGTTTTAGGCCATACAAGCTCTTCTTCAATTTGCACACATGCTCTTCCTTCCCCTTGAATTTGAAGCCCTCAGGTTGTTCCATGTATATGTCTTCCTCAAGGTCACCGTGAAGAAATGCTGTTAAATGTAACCATTAAATGAGTGATTAATTAAATTAGAATAATGAAGATGATTTAATCACAATAAACAACCACTTGAATGAGGGGGCTATATATATAAGAATAGAAAAAAGACCATCAAGGAATCCAAGAGAAAGAGTAGAAAGCCAAAGAGTGAATCTAGACATGGAAAAAGTCTACTCCACAACCCATCTGTGGGCAAACGTGGTAGACCACAACCTACTTGTGGAGTAATCTGATCATACTTTAAAAAAGCCAAAAACCAATCGAGATATATGACTTTTACTCTCTTTATTCCAACATATATTATATTGTAATTTTTCTTAAAATTAAGCAAACAATGTTTAGAACTAGTCATATCATGGCTTAAGAATTATATACCAACTTAGTATGTTTGGTGGAGAACTCACCCTGTGAATTAGAGTTCTTTAACGCTAATTATTAATTTAAATTCAGATTTATAATACTAACATATATAAATTATATATATTGACAAAAATGTTATTTTGTAATACATAGGAAGTACATTGTAATTACAAGTTTTTATTCAAAATTTGTTGGTTGATTGTAGACCCGAACTCAAAGTGCAAGAAATTGGGGGAAGCATGTGGTATATTTGGTCGTGGAAGATGCTGTGGGAAAAACATTTGTTCAAACCGCGTTCTCGGAGGACATTGTAAACCATCTAAATATGGTTGATTGTCACAATGCTCTAGCCTTATGAGTTGCCTTTATTTCATATGAGTATGTTTAATTGGCTAATTAATTTTATGGTTAATTAATCACTTTAATATTGGTGATAATCAAGGTGTATTTCTCTCCCAAATATGGAGTATATGCATGAATAAAAAAACACATGTTTTATTTACACTATATATGCACTTACTATATATTAATAGCATGAGTAATGGAGAGCATAAGTATGTCATTTTAATATGCTTATTATGTTTGAGTTTGATTGGCCATAAATGTTTCTTTAAGCTAAGTCTGAGCTATTGCATAAATTACTATTAGTAGAACCTATATAGGCCTTGTAAATGATTCAAAGTCTCATCCATTGATTGGTGCAACCTAAATCAGTTAACACATAATTTGACTAACGGAAATATTTGCCTAAAGGAATCATGCACAAATTACAGTTTATTACGTACCTTTTCTTAGGTTGCATTCCATAATATTGTTACGTTTCAATTGGAATAAAACTCTCTTACTTAGGCCTTGTTTAGTTCAACTTATTTTTACTTATTTCAGAAAAAATAAGTTCAGATCAGAAAAAATAAGTTCAGATCAGAACATCGTTTTATGTGCGGTTTTTTATTTCTAAATATTCTTAATTTCCTAATGAAAAAAATTGTGAAAATTACATATTAATAAACTACACATTATTACGAATCTAACAAGATCCCACTCGATATATTTTTTCTTTATAGATTATCGTACACTTAAGGTCAAAGTTTGGTCAAATCAGACAATCAGATCAGGTCAGATCAGACCGAACCAAATCAGATCAGTAAAAATAAGGTGACCCAAACATGGCCTTAGCTTGAGCTTGAGCTGCTTGACCACACAGTTTTGTGTACTTTCCAAATACCAAGGCAGAAGTTCAAAAAAGGGTGTGCCACTTTTTGGCATAGACGTGCTGATTGGACTCTCGTAAAAAAATTCTAGCTTCGACGATAGTTTGTAAAACGACCATAACTTTTTCGTTTCTTATTGGAATTGAGTATATGACCTCCAACTTGAATAAAAAAACTCAAGATTACATACAAATTGAGAGATGTGTGCATAATCAAGTCAGCCCTTTGCCATTTCACTAGATTCTAAGTAAAATTTAACATCAATCATGTCTCTAGCTTAACATATGTGAATTCATTCTAATGCAAACTTGATTTTTGATTTACGTGTACATATTTTGTTAGGAAATAGACAAGGATCAAATTATTTAGGTAATGTTGCGAGGAACATATACACCAATATATAAATGTAAATTTGAGAAATAAAGTAGAGAATAGATGAGATGAACACACAAATATACCTAGTTCGGTCAACATGATAAAATTCGATATCGTTTGTGAAATTTGACCATGAAATTATTGGGTTTTAATTTAAAAAAGTAAATTTCAAGTTTTTCATGTCAAATTCGACCATGAAAACTTAAACCCAATTTCAAGCCAATTTTAGGGTTTTGGTGGAATTCAAGGTAAGTTCTCTTTTTTCTTTCTTTTATTTTGTTTTTTTAAGATTTTTTTTAATTTTAATTCTATGGTGATGTGTGGTTGAATTGCGATGGTGGTGGGTGGTTTGTGTTTGGGGTAAGGGTTGGGTGGGAGTGGGCTAGTTGTTTTCGGGTGGATCTGGTTTGGGTGGGGGTTTTGGTGGGTGGGGATGATGGTTTGGGTGGGATGGGGGGTCGTGGTGTCTGGGAATCTGGTTTGGGTTGGGGTTATGGTGGGTTACAGGTTTGGGTTGGGGTTCTGGTGGGTAGTGAGGTGGATTACGAGTTTTGGTGGGTGGTGAGGAAGTTTACGGGTTTTGGTTGGTGGTGAGGTGGGTTAGTGTGTTTACGGGTTAGGTGGGCTGGTAGGGGTTAGTGTGTTTGCGGGTTAGGTTTTGGTGGTCAGGTTGTGGGTGGATTGGGCGTCTGATGTGGTTGTGGTACGGGTTAAGTGGGCTGGTAGGGGTGGTGTGGGGTGTTTTTTTATAATTTTTATAAAGCATTTTTCGACAAAATTTATGTCGGAAATATCCGGCGGAATTGTGTTCGTCGGAATTTCCGACGGATTTTTCCAGGCGGGAAAATCTCTTTCGACACCAGAATTCCCTCAAAAACTCTGTCGGAAAAGGTCGTTTTTCCAATAAATACCTTTACGACGACAGTTTCCAACGGAATTCCGTTGAAAACACGTTTTTTGAAGAAAAAATTTCGTCGAAAATCGCTTGTTTTCTAGTAGTGTTAATGTGCAGTATTCACCAATAACCTAGAACCACAACTTTTATGTGCAGCTACTACTCAAATGTATTTCCATGAAACATGTGACTGTAGTATACAAAATATGTTTCCTTACTATGAAACTCAATAAATAATTAACCAACATTAATTAAAGCTCTTTCATAAATAGATTATGAATGAACATCATTATGTAAACACCACATATCTCAGAGACTAAAAGGGCGATTATGTTAGAGATATGAGATATCGGAAAATATAAGTGTGATATATTTTCCGTATTGATCTTATTAGGAGAATAATATATTTAGGTTTATTTTATGTTAAGATATTATTTAGAGAATATATCTTTAGGATTTATGATTACGGTGGTATATTTTTTAGGAATATTGTTTCCTATCTTATAAGTTTAGATTTTGTATAAATACTCTAACTATTGATAAATAATAAATAAGCTATTTTATTCTCTCAACAACTATCTCATATTTTTTCATAAGATCATAGACAACCTTTCTAGCACCCATTTCACAGGATTCTTCTTCCATCACAGGCCATCATCTTCCATCGCATCATTCACAGCCATATCTGTTATCCAAATGAGGGATTTGGTTTTCTTATCCAAACATAGTGTTAGTATATAGTTATTGAATTGATACCTTTTTCTTGTGTATGCTCACAATAATAAGCCACTAGAATAATACTAATGGAAAGTGGAAATTTGTTTTAAAACTTCGTTGATTGGTTGCCATAAATATTAGTTTTATTCGATCGAGTTAAAAAAATAATTTAAGAGTCCGATCAAATTTGAGCTTGACATGCATGTATGTTTTACAAGTAGGGTTGTCGAATCAAGGTTTGCTTGTTTGTATCATAGTTCGAACTATAACTTGTGACATATACACTGGCGGATTCAGATGTAGTCATTGTGGATCCTAGGACCACCTTTTTTTTTTCAATAAAAAAATAAAATTAGATCTATTTCACATTTTCACGGGTACGCCGTGACTCCTTCCTCTCTCTATCCTCCCAGAAGGCCAGAACACAGACCACGGCTTCCTCTCTCTCTCTCTCTCTCTCTCCTCCATTGAAGCGTACTCGAAATTCTCCATAAAAGGGGCTTCTGAGCTTTCTCTCCTCCATTGAAGCAGTCTCTAAGGTTACATGCTTCTTTTTCTTTAATCATCTAATTCTAATTTTGACAATCTAGTGTTAATCGTGTATTTAATTATCGGTATATACTCAATTTAGGGTTCTTCGAAGTTGGATAATTGAACTATTGGTTATAGATAATCCTAAGTTTTCAATCAATTGCTAAATTCTTCATTTGTCGCCATTTTAGGGTTTTCACGCATTTGCTGAAGAATGTGAGATATTCTTTCTTTTCTCCCCAAATTCTGCACTTTTTCAGCTTGAATAACTCAAATTAAGTTCAAAAAAGTATTTTATTTGTTGGGGAATCTTTGGTTGACAATGTTGGGTTGTGGTTATGAGCTCTTCCGTAGTGTTAATTGACAATTTCATGGTTTTTAACCCTAGTTTATGCAGTTCAATGCACAGGAAAAGTAGCAATTTTTTGCCCAATTTTAGGGTTAGGGGAGATTTTGGGGGGGAGGAATCAGCGGGTTTTAGGGTTAGTGGTTCCGAATGCGAAGAAGAAAAAGGGGCTTAATTCGAGGAAGAAGCTAGAGCTGGTGGCGGAGGTTTTTCTTTGAGGAAGATGGGAATTGGCTTGGTTTAAGGGAGGAGGATTTGGAGGAGTTTGAGGAGGAGAGTAAAATTGAAGTTGAGGGTTCTGACAAGGGAGAGAGGGATTCAGAGAAGGAGAAATTCGAGGCGTGGAAGAATCAGGCCGAGGCGCTTATTGAGTTGAGAGAGGCTCAAGAGGGAATTAAGAATGAGGAGAATAGGAATTGGGATTATTGGCTTGTTTTTTATGAGGGAAATGGTGCTGTTAGAAGAGAATGGGATTATATTGATGATGATGATGTGAATGAATTGAAAGAAGATGATGTTGATGGTGACCCTGATGAGACAATGCCTAAGAGGGGGTTAGTGAAGACTCTTGAGAATTTTATTCTTGGGAAAGAAGATGATGATTTATTGTATGAAGACCGTGTTTTTCAATTCGTTTCGAGGAATTCGGTAGTCTTTCTTTTGTTGCCTGCTTTTGTGTATTTCTGGTTTCTGTTTATTTGTTATACTTGTGTGATTGTGTATGTTCCTAGGATATTCTAACTTTTGCTATATGAAAGTGTGTAACAGTTGCTAGATAAGTGCATGACTTTTGTCTTATGAACTATGTGTTCCTGTATTGCAGGCTAAATTTTTGGTTGTTTTGATAATTGTACCATGGGCAATGGATTTTCTTGTGCACGACTATGTTCTTATGCCTTTCTTAGACAGGTAAATGTTTGTCTACGATGCTTTTAGCTTGGCCTATTATGATTACACCTCAAATCATTGCTTTTTGTGTGTCGTTCATCGTTTAAAAAATCGGCATGGCTGCATTACCTTGTCAAACTTGAAATGGTTAGAGAGTGTGCCTTATTGATGGATGAAGTTGTAAACTTAGGATGTTTTAAGCTATTTGGAGAGAAGTATACTTATTTATGAATATATTATTTGTAATGAATATTTCAGGCTAGCATCTGCCTTTCCTTTTTTGGTTTTTCCTCACATATTTGTTGGAATGCCTTAGTTTGAAATAAATTCTCAAATACATACACACTAAACAGTACAAATAGAGGATATGTATTGTCCAATGATAATTTAAAAGCACATTAGTGGTTAAAGCTCCTTAGCTTCAGAGGCAAGAAATACCTCAACTACATGCTTCAGATTGTATTTTTTTCTTATGAAATGAACTTTTTTATGTATTTTTTTTTGTTCATTATACAAGCTTTGACTATTTTTTGATGTTATATGCGGTCGATGGACAATGATGGGACAACCTATTAATCAAATCCTGGATCCGCCACTGGACATATATATTAAGATTTCACATGATGAGTTTTCAAAAAATAAAATAAAAAATAAAAAATAAAAAAAAATCAACTCATGCGAGTATTATAGTGTAAAAAAAAAAAGGTCATTTAATTGAAAATAAAGGAAGGAATATTTTATAAGATTATTAGTTTAATTGGTATAAATTATTTTAGCGAAATTCGACATTATAACCCTCAAGTTTTACGATTTTTACGTTGTGCCCCATCTTTTAGAAAGTTACACATTGTAATAATTAGTAACCATACAGTGTTCTTTACCGTTATCCCACCACTAAAAAATTCCGTTATGTTGGTATAATTACTGTTAGTGGAACCCACTCTTCACTGATTAACATTTTTATATATGTCGATTTACGTGTTGGAAAATATTCCGTTAAAGCTTTTAGAGGCCATTTTGGCCCTTATGGGTATAAATTGAATTCAAATTTTGCAAAAAAGTAACGTAATGTCTTGTTTTTCGTGTTAAGAGATGTCTCGATTTGTGTTTCATTATTTCTTAGAAGTGGAAATTGTTCAAGCAAGGTATCAAGGTTTGTTTAATAGTTCCAAATAAAGTTCGAAGTTAGCAAAAAAAAAAAACGTAATGTCTAATGTCTTATTTGGCATGTTGAGAAATAACGCAATTGACACGTAAAATGAGACATTACATTATTTTTTTGTCACTTTTGAGCTCAATTTGATTCCTAAAGAACTGAAATGACCTTAAATCTTACTTGAACAATTTGTGGCTAAAACAAATAACACGCAAATCGAGATATTTTTAATAGGCAAAACAAGACAATTACGTTATTTTTTTTGCAAAATCTGAGCTTAATTAGGATCTATAAGGATCAAAACGGTCCC